CTGCTTAACACGTTCAGAATAGCATCATTGTGCCCAAAACTTTTGTCTAAAAGTTTATGAGGATGGTATCCATTGCTGTAATATGATTGGCTTCCTCAGGTTACGTGCATGATTTTCTGATTATGTAAAAATGAAAATATAAAAGAAACAGGTAAGAGGATATTTTTATTAGAAATAAACTTATTTAAGTTGAAGTTGTATTATTTGAATAATATGTTAAAAATACCTTTGGTACTTATCAACAGTTGGATTAGACCTGAAAAATTCAAATGGTGTATGACATGTAGTAGCTCTAATGTTTCACGAGCTTATATTTTCCTTGACAAATGTAGGCTTCTATCTTATTATAAGGCTATGTTTCTCATGTTTCCATTTTTTTTTCCATTATTCTAAGTTTACTTTACCTAATACAGAGAGACTTTTGCCCATCTTGAGTGCTTTGTTAAATCATTTTTTTATGAGAAAGTGTACCCAACGTCATTCATGAAATAGGTAATGTTAATAATACTTTTATTCAAAGACATAGGTGCATAAATCATTGTTTTGATTAGAATGTGCACTTCAAGATCATGTCACATGATTGTGACTTCAATTAAATCTTTCTTGAGTAATACAGATGTGCACAGTAGCTCAGACTCTTTAAATTATTTGAAATTCAACATCCTTTGCTGTCTAAAGAAGTTACAGTATAAACATAGTATGGTTGGGTTTATGGAGGACATGATGTAAGCCAGTTTCAGTTTTGTCATATACATATATGAAGTGAGAAATCATACATTTATCTGCGTTAACTTTCCCTTGGACAGCAGTTACAATTAAAAGAAAGACTTGAAGAAAGTTGTTTATAGTAAAGTGTACGGCTGGTAATTTTTGGAAAGGACAAGTGACATTCAAAATCCACTAACCCGGAGGACTAGTTACCATTTTTAGTGAGTGTTGATCCTTGCTGTTTTAAAATAAAAGTATAAACAGAAGAATGTTCTGGTTTTTCCTTTTTTTGATTTGAAAGAAGCTATACAATGCACAGTGGTTACTCACATATACTGTGATTCAATTTGAAGGTAAAAGAATATTACAAAGTGGACAGATCTCAATAACTGTTCTTTCACAATATATCGCAATATTTATCACAATACAGAAGAGTGTATCGCAATATATCACAATACAAAATTTGGGGCAATACACAGCCCAAAAGCAAACATTCTCTTTAATTACTTAACACTGTCACTGTATGTTGACCACGAGACGTCGACACTCCGGGCTTTTTATTCTGTCGATGGTTAGCAACATCATATTCTTCATTTGTCGACAGATTGGGCTGACACCTTTGGGAGAGTCACGATATGGCTGAAATATTGCTGATGTGACGTTAAATATTAGCTCACTCACTCACCTTTGGGAGTGCCTGTCCCCGTGTCTGTCACGGTCAAGAGAGCACGGACCTGATGTAATTAGATTTTTGGCGCAAAACATTAATCGCTCTGGATCAGTGCCCCTTTAAGCTCTGGATCAGTGCCCCTTTAAGCTCAACTGCAGGTCATTTTGACCTTCACTGAAGATCCCATTTCAAGCATATACACATTTGTCTCAAATGTTCATCCAACGTGACAGAACGTACATAACACTCAGTTAATGTCTGCCCAAACGCTACCCTAATGGTATGTTTAGTGCCATGATTAGTCATTACTTTAGGGTATTTCCCATCTTATGGCAATGTGACAAAACATTAACAGATAGAGAGCAATATATTTTATAATCAAAAAGAGTAATAATTTTGAATTCATACTTAAAAACAATAAATAATTTGAAAAAGTGACTTCACTTTTTATACAGCCCTAATATGAGATAAAACATGCAACCTCTTGAATGGCATCCACACAGGACTCATAAGCAACATTTCTAACATTGATGCCATACTGTACTAAGTGTACTTACCAGATTTCAACACCCACCATGGTTCTCTGTAAAGTCTATTCCCGCAGTGGACCTATGGACCAGTGAAACTGAATCTTCACAGGCATGTTCCCCCAATCCTTACACCTGAATTTTGTTTAAAATGATTGAATTTCATTTTGGATGTGGCCACCGTGATTATCAAGTGAAACCTGATGTATGTTTATTCATTTGTGTGGCATAACACTTCAGTTCAGTATTTAGTAAAATGTTATAATGTTTAAATTTTCTCTAATGAACTGAGGTTTTAGGTCAGTATTTATTTAGAAGAATATACACTAGCCACATAAAGAAACTGTGCATTGTCAAAATATTATCCCAGTTGATAAGTACGATAACAATGTCAAGGACGTTATCTGGCGGATGAGGATGACGGCGTAGACGTCGAGCCATCTCGTCCCAAACATGCTCTATCGGGGAGAGATCCGGTGAATTTGCAGGCCAAGGCAGTAAGTCAACGTTGTGGTGTTGCAAGAAATCCATAGCAACCGTTGCCGTATGAGGGCGGGCATTGTCCTGTTGGAATGTTAACCCAGGGCCATGACGTTGCAGAAAAGGAATTGCCACAGGTCGAAGAATCTGATCCCTGTAGCCCACACCAGTTAAGTTGCCCTGAACAATCACCAAAGGAGTTCTTTGGTGTGCTGTTATTCCACCCCAAATCATCATGGAACCACCACCAAAGTGATTCCTCTCCAAGACACAGGCCTGTGGATAACGTTCTCCCACACGTCTATAGGCACGTTGACGTCCATCACTGGGGGAAATGTTAAACCTGGACTCATCTGTAAAAACAACATTTCTCCACCAAAACAAGGGTCTGCGTCTAGAATGTGGCCGATCGATGACGTCATTTGTGTTCTGGTAGCGTCTCACCAGTGCAGAAATGGTGTTCCGGTCGCAGTGGAAATGTGCAGCCACTTGTCGTTGAGACATTCCCCCACGGACCATCCCAATGGCCTCATGACGTTGTGCAGACATGAGCCTTGGCATGCTATGGCATGTTTCAATAGCAGTTTAATTTTTTGAACGATCGCAAGGGCAGGGGTTGAGCTTTCCAAAGTGACAGTATTGTGTGGCATTCATTTGCTGTTTCTCTTTCCTGGAATGCACGTGCAACAACATATTGCACGTCTCAAGGACGAACCCACTGACGTCACGGAACGTGGCACGTGCATGCATGTTGGATACATGTCACTAATCTCTGAGTTTAAATCCTTACGTGTCTACACAGGTTTGATAAAGTTAGATTTTAAATTTTTGTATGCACAGTTTCTTTATGTGCCTAGTATATATGAAAATCAATTCTGCAACAATCTTTATTTTGAGGTTTCCTTTGTTTCAAGTATGAATAAGAAAGAACTGCTTCTCCAAGGAAGAAACATAATGATCTGGGGAGATGTTTGGGCAGAAACTGGTGCCTGAAAGTGCATATAAAAGAGCAATATTTGAATGTCTCTTTTTTCTTACTATATATTAATTATATATACTCGACAAAAAAGTTAGGGATGTTGGTATTTTTATGATTGATATTTTATCAGTGTGTCAATGAATAAATAGATCATTATTCATAATTTCAAAATTTACATATATCCCTCACTATTTTTGTTCAGTATATATACAACTGGAATAAAGTAACTGAGCATTATTTGATGTTATACCATTTTGTAATGCAAAAAGATAATTACATGATTTGTGGTGTCTTTCTTAATCACTGTTTAACTGTCGAAATATGGAAACATTAATATCAAAATCAGTGTGATTTGACACTAGGCATCGTGACACACCCATGAAGAGATGTGCTGTCAAAAGTCAGTTCACAAATTCGCTGTCATATGTGGCTTGATGCAGGCTTGACAACCACGACACTAAGCAATTGAAGAAAGCTTGGGGAATGTTGTTCCATGTCTGAACCAACACTTGTACCAGTTCAGCTAACATCAATGATTGAATCTGGACTTGACATAAACGTCGGTCCGTTTCATCCCTCGATAAGGGACAGGTCCGGAGAAACAGCTGATCAGGTGAGTACCAGAATGTTTTGCTGTCTCAGGAAATCTGTCGCAAAAGGAGCGACATGTGGATGGGCATTATCTTGCCGAAGCATGAAGTCTCTATCCTTGAATGAATGGCTGCACATGAGGCCCAATGATCTCACCTGTATTGCATACCAGCCAGATTGCCATTGACAATGTCAAGTTGTTTCCAACCTTGAGATGTGATGCCTCCTCATACCATAACACCACAGCCACCAAACTGTCGACGTTGAACAATGTACACGTCACTTAACCGTTCACCTTAAGTGAACCTGTCATCTGAACTGTCCAGATGAAATCTAGGCTTGTCAGTGAACAAAACACCATCCCAATCTTGTCTCCTGTACCGTAGATGTTGTCTGCACCAGGCAAGACCTGCCTGGCAGTGACGTTGGAGCAAAATTGGACGTATTGCAGGCCGTTAGGACTGGAAGTTGTGCTCGCTCAATTGGTTCTGTACAGTCAAAGAAATGATTGAACATAAGCCAGGTAGGGTCCGAGCAGTCAAACTGGCAGTCAGGAATCAATTCCTTAGAATGATAAGCCGAATGTGGTTGTCTTGCTGATGTAATGTCACGTGTGGACCACCGGCAAATCTTTTGTGTTCCCATTATGTTGAAAACATCTCCATAGAGATGAGATCGTGTTTCAATGGACACCAAAATGTCTGGCCACTTCATTTTGGGTCATTTTATTTTTGTGGCATGACGTACACACAGCTTATGTTGAAGTTAAAGGGTTTTCCACAACATTCAGAGGCAAGAGAATAATCAACCGTTCTTCAAATTTCAATATCAGGTGTGTGAACTTCAGGTGTCAAAAAGCATGCAAAAAGTGAGCAAGTTCATTGTGCACAAAGTTCATGTTACACCTGCAATATGTGAAATTTCATGCAAAGTGCTTTGCTCCATGTTTATTTAGTTTACTTTTCAAATAACTTTTATTTTATGCAACTTTATGTTATGCACAGTTAATTTTTCTGTTTATTAAACTGTTTATTATATTTTTCAGGTATGTTTGAAATTGCATGAGGCTGTTGCCAAGAAACTGTTGGGAGAAGGTGACCTCATGGAAGTGTTTTGTTCAGGAGAAATTGACTTTTCGTCTATCTTGTATACAAATTGTTTGAAAAGCATCAAAAGTATGTGATACAATATATATTGTAGCTGGCTTATTCAGCGTTTGCTAAACCGACAAGAGCCCTTGACGAACTGATCTGTTGTGACGATCCCGTCTTCGATGAAAGCTCCAGATCAACCCTCTCTGACAGTGATGGCCTAACTTCCATCTCCGTCTGTTTCAGACCTGTGAAGATCTGGGGTAGAATAGATCTTCAGCAACCCATGCTTGGCACAAAAGGCGACTATGCTTGTCGTAAGAGGCGACTAACGGGATCGGGTGGTCAGGCTCGCTGACTTGGTTGACACATGTCATCGGTTCCCAATTGCGCAGATCGATGCTCATGCTGTTGATCACTGGATTGTCTGGTCCAGACTCAATTATTTACAGACCGCCGCCATATAGTTGGAAGATTGCTGAGTGCAGCGTAAAACTAAACTCACTCACTGAAGTTCAGATTCTTTTGCATACATTGAATGAACGTTTGAAAAGTTTGAAAGACCCATCCCTGAATCTGTGGCAACAATTATTGTCAGTTTTAAGGATATTGTTGACCTAAACATGTAAACAGCTTGTATGTATTTGATCTTGAAGTGTATTTGTGTAATTCATCTGTAAAGCAGTGTACTCAATTGTTGACTTGTTATTTAGGTGTGGATCATAATAAACTGCTGTGAACTGCACACCACATTTAACTGTTGTGTTGCTGAGGTGATCAACAAGAAGCTGCTGGCTACATATCTTGGTGAACTGCATTGCAGGGGCACTATTTTGTTTAAAACATTTTGAATTTTGTGGTTACTTTATTTAAAACATTTTTAACAGTTCACAATAAGGTTTAAAGTCTTATTTTCAAGAATAATGAGGCTTAAACTGGGTATGTTAATGGCCATAAGTAGCGTCAAGTGTTTACTAGGCATCATTATCAGCATTCAACTTCAGTTCATATTGAACACTGGACATTTTTGTGTTTGTTGCAGTCGCTGCACTGAGGCATCACGTTGTGTGTAATGTGAAATTTTATAATTTCATTAGTAACCATCGTACATGTGATATTTGTATTGGTATCTTCATCAAGATATCTGGAAGTAGGCCATATTTAAAGCTAGAGAGGTCTCGCAAGAGAAATTACCCATAACCCTTCCTCATGAGGGCCGAAATTAGAAAGAACACAGAGTAAAGAAAAACATTTAATCAGATCATAATGATGATCTACAAGTGGACATTCAAGGTCAAAGGTAAAGCGAATTCAAAGTTCAACAGCAAACAAAAAAAACGTAGATAGGGTCAGTGAAGACCATGAAAGTCATCCAGTGGAGCACACTCCTCTTCCTGGCCAGCTCCGCTCTGGTCCACAAACACGACACTCAACTGCAAGCAAAAAACATAGCATTACCAACTATGACTTAGTTGAATCAGTTACCGGTAGATGAATTCAAAGCCTGTTAGTGTCAAGGATCTTTGACAGGCAGTTGTCACTGTTGACTGTATTTCTCTGATAAAAGGTTCTGAAAGTAGGTCAAGTTTCCCAATTTCAAAATGTCTGTGACAGAAGCACCTTTGGTAAATGCCTTCGAAGTGCTAGATACTCTGACAGAATGAGCTTTGTAATGTGAGGTGTCAATACCCACATCACCCATCTGGCGATACTAGGGGACGAAACCGGTTTCACATAGCTCAAGGGAAGGCCAAATCTACTTTCATCTCTCCAAAGTTCTGTGCGTTCTAAGTAAACTCTAAGGCACCAAACTACACAGTGCTGGGTCCTTCTCACAGGCCCTGAAACTCAAGGATTGAGTCTTTGTTCCTGTCTTAGTCACCTTGGCTTGGTGGTTTTAATCAGAGTAAATTCTACTTCAGTGCCCCTGTCTACCATGTGTCTGGTATCAAGAGAAGACAACTCCGAAGACCTACTAGCTGAGGTTAGCATCAGAAGCATTGTCAACTTCTCAGACAAGTGTTTGTCTGACAAATAAGTATTATCTTTCTATGTTTTCAAATGTTGCAGCAACAAATCTACATCACAGGCCATGGAATCTCTGGGTTAAGGAGGATTCTGATTAAAAATCCATGATATTAATTTCCTGACCAGAGGGTGCTGACCCACATTATAGCCCTCGATAGTGGGGTGAAAAGCAGACAAAGCTTATCTTGCTGTATTTATGGTCCTGTTCTGATTATTCTCATGGTTCAAGTGAGTCAGAAAGTCTAAAATAGACTCCACAGAGGCTGAAAAGGCTCAAAACCCCATTGATTGCACCAGCCAGTCCACCTATTTCAGGAAGCATTGTCAGAACCTTGTGTGCCAGGTTGCTATTGGCAGGAGAGCAACTGTGTAGTCGCCTCTGAAATTCCTCTGGTTTTGATGCTACGCTTGAAACCTTCCATGCCACTAATACCAGAGTGTTGTTTTCTATCAGTGGATGAGGCAGTTTTTTTTGTGGGAGGTGGATTGGTTGTGTGACCGCCATCTCCAAGAGGAGTGGATACCAGGACTGACTTTGCCACACTGGAGTTATTATCACCAGCTCTGCTTCCTTTTTTTCCTAAGGCACCTGCCTATCAGTGAGAACGGGGAAATGCATAAGGAATCCCCTAGTTCCAATTGACCTGAAACACATCTGTTGATTACGCAAGGGGGCCGGACTCCAGCTGCAGAATGGCATCATTTGGAAAGTGAGCCCCCATGCAAATAGGTCCATTGAGATTGGGCCCAGTATCTGGTTGCATTGAGCGAAGATGATTGGATTAAGCATCCAGTCGCTCGAGTCCTTGAAGTGGCAAGACTCCCAGTCCTCATGAATGTTCTCTTTCCCTGGCAGATAGACTGCTGTTAAAATGATATCTGACCGTACTCACTACTTAAATTCGGAATACAACCTCCTCCCTTCAGGCCACCGCTACAAAGTTCCAAACTAAGAGAAAACTAAGAGAGCCTGTACATCCTTTATTCCAAGTACCATATCTCTCTTAAACAAATGTGAAGATACCTAAATCAAAGAATTTATGTAAATATGTGTTGGTATCTCTCTAATGTGTCAGTAGCTCTGCTGAAGTAACACAAATTCCTGAAAAGGCATTAAAGTATTATTCTATTCTATTCTATTCTATTCTATTCTATTCTATTCTATTCTATTCTATTCTATTCTATTCTATTCTATTCTATTCTATTCTATTCTATTCTATTCTATTCTATTCTATTCTATTCTAAGAACAGATGGTTCTGGAGGCAGAAACCCAATATCTGCTTTGTGACCTGGAGTAGTCTGACTGATCGGTTCACATAAGCCATGGCTGTCTGATTGTCAGCTTGGACCTTAATCAATTGATATTTGATCCCCTTTGATGTGCATCCCCTGCTCTGTCTAACCATGTATCTCTGGCCATGTATTGCTCCCAATTCCATTTTTTATGCATCTATTATGATATGGGTCTTGGGTCCAAGTGAGGGTTCAGGTGAAACCCCCATCTAACTGGCGTGCTGGTCTGCTTATGGGGAATTAGCTCAACAAAGAGTCTGAAGTCACAAGAAGCTAATTACAATTTTATTAACAAGAACAAAAATAACATGGGGTGGCCACAGAGAGTCGGTACAACCCTCTGGGCTGAGGGCAAGAGGTGACCTGTGTCGGGAGTCTAAACCCTACTGACGAACAAATGGAGTTTGACTATTTATCTAAAATTGAAACAAGGAAGAGATTATGATTCGTTGACTGATACAAAATTGGGTGTAACCTACATTAACCAATGAAATACAGAATATACAAAATGGGGTGTGTCCTACAAAAACAACTTCAATGACCACACAGGGGGAGTACTTAATCCTGCTAATCCTATTTCAACTGGCACTAATCTTGCTGGCACTTTTACTGGATGCTTGGATGCTTACCCTGGGCTAGATCTTAACGAGCCTAATTTGATGTGTCCCATTATAGGTGCTTGGATTACAATAGATGCGTTTACTCTGGGCAATGCCTTAATGACCCTAAATTGGTGTTTGCTTAAAGTTATTGTAATATAGATGATGACATGTTTACTTTATCAAAGCAGTTCATTAAATGTCTAGTCATAACTTTTTCTTACTGAAAGGTTTGTCTAAGAGTTTGAGTCCTTGATACCTTAGGCTAGGATTTTATCTTGAACATCTGTGAAATTGTGCAGCCGTAATTTACACCTTTTTCAATAGTGTGTCTGTGAGATAAGTGTTACTATTTTTGACTGGAGTCTTTCTCTAAGCTATTATTGATACATGATGAAACAAATATTCTATATTTTCCTAATATCTGAATCCTAATATATCGCTTGTAGTGGTTATAATTAATAATGAATTTTGTATGAATAATTATTCCATGATACATCTGTCTGGAGAACTACATATGGATGAGCTGCCATGATTGGCTTCCCGTTGAAATTTGTGATGTTGGTCACCCATCACTTCAGTTCCTCCAGACAATCCAAAGGCAACATAATTATTGACTCATAACTCTGGGAATGCAAAAGCTCCTTGTTTGAATGCATCTGCAGGTAACGACAAAGCAGTTGAGCTGGTATGATTGCTCTCATTGAAGCTGACGGTTTCCCTATCAAGTTTGCCAGTTGTCGAATCCTTATCTCTTTATCATCATGTGACGACAGGTTGCCACAATGTTCTGTACCTTCTCCTCTAGTAAGATCAAGTAAGACCCACCGTGTCTATCTGAAACCCCGACCACCTCTGTGATATAGTGGTTAGAGCATCCGCTCGGAGAGCGGAAGGTCATGGTCCCATCTCCGGCCACGTCATACCAAAAGACGTTAAAATATGGTACTTGTTGGTCCCTGCCTGGCGCTCAGCATTAATGGGTACAACAAGGACTGGTCGGCTATGCACAAGATATTGACCAGGGCCCGGTTGTTCAAAACTTGGTTATCTTTTAACCAGCCGTTAAGTACATTTAACCGACTGTTAACTAATAACAGAGGGTTTTCTTGTTGTTCAAAACTCTGTTAACTTTTAACAGGATGTTAACGTGACGTTAAGTTAACACACCTAAGGACTGCCGATAACTTTTTAATAGTGTGGTTAATTCGCAAAATGGCGTTCATGGCTAACACTGCTTTCATGATGCCAGTTAAAATTTTGCAAGGTGATTAGCAGCGTCTGACAAACAGGGGGCACGCACTGTTAGTGGCCCTTAGCTTCTATGCAAGTGGGATGTTTTACAAGTTGTGGGGGACACTCTGGGTATAGACAAGAGTACAGTGTCTAGGATCATCTGCGATGTGACCGATGTCCTAGTGGCAGACCACCTCCATGGTGTAGTGGTTAGAGCGTCTGCCCAGAGAGCGGAAAGTTGTGGGTTCGAAAAGACGTTAAAATATGGTACTTGTTGGTCCCTGCCTGGCTCTCGGAATTAATGGGTACAACAAGGACTGGTTGGCTCGGAGTCAGTATAATGTGTCTGAGGTGGGTATTCATGCTTCACTGCTGCATGGTATCTCAGTGGGCTAGCACTATAAAACCAGCTTAAGTCTGGGCTAGTACAAGCAGCCGCACATACAAATACACACGCATGCACGTCGTCATATGAGCGAAATATTCTCAAGTACAACGTAAAACCCAATTTCACCTCACCTCACCCAAGTGGCAAAGCGTAACATTTACATTTCATGGCTGACTGACAATCAACACCTTCGCAAAAATGAAGACGGCTTCTTCGTGCTTGAAGGTTTTCCCAAAGTAATTGGATATGTAGATGGGACACATATTCGTATACAAGCACCTTCCTAAGATGAACCTGCATATGTAAACAGGAAAGGATATCACAGCATAAACGTGCAGGCTGTGTGCGATCACGAAGGTAAACACTTCCTTACAACTTGAACAATTAGAGTGGCTTCCCTTGGTGACCTGATTTGACTCTAAGAATTCATTAATAGATGTTGACCAAATGTAATATTTTAGTACATGTATATGAAGCACCCATAAAATGTATCTAAATAATTTCGACTGTTTTTTATATCCACAATGTAGCTGAAAGTTTTAAATTTGCATTCATATATATAAATGGCAATAATGAAACAATTTTCCCAAATATTTGCAAATGTCATTAGTATGTAGGTCTACAATTAATATGTAAGAAAAATTTAAGAAGTAAAGTGAAATATATACTGCACCACAAAAGAAATGTCGCACTGATAGGGGTTTCTTAAAGCACACACTTTAATTCACTCTAATTAGCAATAAAAACGGAGGACTGAGTTCAAACTTGACAAGTATGGTTAACACATTTTCTGGAATCATATTTAGAGTTAACACAAACAAAATCACCAAAAATGGTACCATTAAGATGCCCCAAAGTCAATATCGTGTGTGGCCTCTATGGACATCGATGAATGAGTGAGTCGTCAGTACATGGAACGAATTACAGTACAATTTCGATTGAAAAACATGTTAAGAAAACGGGACAATCATAATAAAATCACCACCTTGCAAAAACAAATTTTTGCACTTGGTTTTGAAAAGCAACGTTTCTTTTGTGGTTCGGTATAGATGAAACCTAACATTACACAGATATCAAATTCCCGAATTAGTTTATTATGACGTTTTTCATAACTGTCGGCATACAATATGACATAATTATTGTCATATTAAATACCATTTTAACATGCATTGTTTACTCAGTTAGAACTTGAATTGAAGATATATACGAAAGCAATTTTTTCATAATCATTTCTAATTATATTGTGACAAGTAGTAGATACAATGATAGTCCGGGACCAAGTCCAAGAAAAGCCTCTGCAAAGCCTTATTTCACAAATAAAGCTTTTGTTAGGCCCTAAGGTCTCACCAACCATTGTCTACTACTTTTGAACCCCCAGTTAACTTCCCGACCCCATGTGGCACTACTGTGCCGCTATGCCCGCGAACTAGCACATTATCGAGAGCACAAAAATGGTCAGGACTACTAGATTGGTACTACCTTTTTTGCATTTTTTCCCCCCGCAACAGTAGTCAAAGATTTCCAATTAGAGGGTTGGTAGTTCCAATGTATAGCACTACATATAGCAGAAGATGGCAACCGAAACGACTTTCCAACAAATGGGCCTGCGGGTCGAAAAGTCTGTAGGAGCACATCTACTCCTAGAAAATACTGTAGACAGCAATCTTGTGTCGAATATCGCCGGCGCCGACTATCTTGCTGGACATCTTGGTAGAACAAATCTACAACCTTTGGAAGGCCTACCTACATTCGTAGACGATATATACGTGTTTGGCTACCTCCAACGCAAAGACTGCGTTTGCAAGAACGCCAAGGTATCCTGCATGACTGGAAGGGAAGGTTCCGCACAACTCGTCGTTTCCAGAATCTCCATCGCAGTACAAGAGTCTTTGGCGAACCCCAAACATGTGCAAACAAATATCCTACACACGATAGGAATACGAAAAGACAACTGTGGAGCAATACGGAGCACCATCGCTAGAATAGAGAGAGAGACCGGAATGACAAGTGGCAAGAACTATATCCAGAAGAGAAGGCATACGCTCTATTCGTAGCAAAGATAGACGTTTCCGAAATACCCATCAGCAAGCTACAAACGTCGATTCCAAAACTAGAACGCCAACTACTAGCACACGGCTATGGGCTGTATTCTATCGACTATACAAGAGATTTCTCTGGTGTACTGGACCGCAAGTGACTGGTGGAATATCTTTGGAAGAAACATGGTTTCCGAGAGCAAGGAGACTTCTAGACAATTCTAGACAATACGGGTAGTGTTGGGGCCCACGTCTGTACTTGGGTCGAAACCTGGAATGGCTATACAATGCGAACGAAACTCTACAACAAGGTTGTTTCCAATTTCGAAGCAGGAGAAGTCCGCGAGCAAATCGGAGGACATCTGGCAGACTATGTGGATTGCCCAAACCAACACTTGCGGAAAACTTTCCTGCATCCAGACGTGCAAGCCCGTGGTTGTACTCGCATAGAAGTTTCGCTCTACGCACATCCACCCAACTCGGAAGAAATAGCAAACGATTTGGTAGAACAAACTCTACAGATGGTATCTCCTCCAGACACCAACTTGTTCGTAGTACAACCACCAGCAAAACAATGGGAAAACCTATCGAAATGTCTAGACCGCTGTCTCGTTCTGGCAGATCGCCCACAGGGCACCATCTTCGTAGTTTGGTATGCACATTCGGAGACGGGTAGAATTTCTGGGGTCCGTATTGCTACCTACAAGAGCCGACAACGATGCTACGTGGGAGAAAGCGATAGAATGGGCTGCAGCAGATTTTGGTTTCTGAGCATGTCCAATATTTCGGGTAGATATACTCTCCGCTACAGATACTGGTGTGGAGCTAGGTCCACTACGTTGCTATACAAAGGATCCCGATGCCAAAACGATACTGTCTGCGAGTAGAAGACCAATCCAGCTACATCCAAATGGAGCAGATCCAAGTATTTTATTGCCTAAAGCTTTTGTTAGGCCCTTAGATCTCACCAACCATTGTCTACTACTTTTGAACTCCCAGTTAACTTCCCGGCCACACGTGACACTACTGTGCTGCACGTGGCACTACTGTGCCGCTATGCCCGCGAACTAGCACATTATCGAGAGAACAAAAATGGTCAGGACTACTAGATTGGTACTACCTTTTTTGCATTTTTTCCCCCCGCAACAGTAGTCGAAGATTTCCAATTAGAGGGTTGGTAGTTCCAATGTATAGCACTACATATAGCAGAAGATGGCAACCGAAACGACTTTCCAACAAATGGGCCTGCGGGTCGAAAAGTCTGTAGGAGCACATCTACTCCTAGAAAATACTGTAGACAGCAATCTTGTGTCGAATATCGCCGGCGCCGACTATCTTGCTGGACATCTTGGTAGAACAAATCTACAACCTTTGGAAGGCCTACCTACATTCGTGAGCGATATATACGTGTTTGGCTACCTCCAACGCAAAGACTGCGTTTGCAAGAACGCCAAGGTATCCTGCACGACTGGAAGGGAAGGTTCCGCACAACTTCGTCTTTTTCCAGAATCTCCATCGCGAGTACAAGAGTCTTTGGCTTAACCCCAAACATGTGCAAACAAATATCCTACACACGATAGGAATACTTAAAAGACAACTGTGGAGCAATACGGAGCACCATCGCTAGAAAAGAGAGAGAGACCGAAAGAAAGCGAAAAGACAAGTGGCAAGAACTATATCCGAAGAGAAGGCATACGCTCTATTAAGTAGCAAAGATAAACGTTTCCGAAATACCCATCGGCAAGCTACAAACGTCGATTCCAAAACTAGAACGCCAACTACTAGCACACGGCTATGGGCTGTATTCTATCGACTATACAAGAGATTTCTCTGGTGTACTGGACCGCAAGCGACTGGTGGAATACCTTTGGAAGAAACATGGTTTCCGAGAGCAAGGAGACTTGTCTTCTGCTATGCAGTCGAACAGTCCAACAATTCTAGACAATACGGGTAGTGTTGGGGCCCACGCCTGTACTTGGGTCGAAACCTGGAATGGCTATACAATGCTTAACGAAACTCTACAACAAGGTTGTTTCCAATTTCGAAGCAGGAGAAGTCCATGAAAGCAAATCGGAGGACATCTGGCAGACTATGTGGATTGCCCAAACCAACACTTGCGGAAAACTTTCCTGCATCCAGACGTGCAAGCCCGTGGTTGTACTCGCATAGAAGTTTCGCTCTACGCACATCCACCCAACTCGGAAGAAATAGCAAACGATTTGGTAGAACAAACTCTACAGATGGTATCTCCTCCAGACACCAACTTGTTCGTAGTACAACCACCAGCAAAACAATGGGAAAACCTATCGAAATGTCTAGACCGCTGTCTCGTTCTGGCAGATCGCCCACAGGGCACCATCTTCGTAGTTTGGTATGCACATTCGGAGACGGGTAGAATTTCTGGGGTCCGTATTGCTACCTACAAGAGCCGACAACGATGCTACGTGGGAGAAAGCGATAGAATGGGCTGCAGCAGATTTTGGTTTCTGAGCATGTCCAATATTTCGGGTAGATATACTCTCCGCTACAGATACTGGTGTGGAGCTAGGTCCACTACGTTGCTATACAAAGGATCCCGATGCCAAAACAATACTGTCTGCGAGTAGAAGACCAATCCAGCTACATCCAAATGGAGCAGATCCAAGTATTCTATTGCCTTCTTGCAAAACAGTAGAGTGGGAATGGAGAACAGCCAAATGTAGTCTTGCTCTATCTCTTCGGTTTCTATAGAAGATAGCTTTCTAGGATCTGAGGCAACTATAATGTGCTAGTTCGCGGGCATAGCGGCACAGTAGTGTCACGTGTGGCCGGGAAGTTAACTGGGAGTTCAAAAGTAGTAGACAATGGTTGGTGAGATCTAAGGGCCTAACAAAAGCTTTATTTGTGAAATAAGGCTTTGCAGAGGCTTTTGTTGGACTTGGTCTCGGACTATCATTGTATCTACTACTTGACAAAAAAATTGAGGATATTTTGTTACATGTATCTGAACCGTAACTGTTTCCTTATCGGGAAAAATAAAAAAATAAGGATGATATATTATCTACTGGTACATATATTTCATACAAAAATATTAATGAAGAATGCAGTCACAATTTATGTTAAGACACACATATAGTATCTGACACGCCCATAAAATATCTCATAATTTTGATTGATGTCTCCCTCTGCGTAAAGCAAACAAAAGATTAATGATTTTTATGTAATCTTACAGGAAAATTCACAGACATTTGTGCCAAATGGCCCGGGGCTGCTCACAACAGTTACTACAGGAAAATTCACAAACATTTGTGCCAAATGGCCCGGGGCTGCTCACGACAGTTACATCTTCAGAACCTCGTCACTCTGCGCACTCATAGAGAGGACCCACACCTCTATCTCTGATGGCTTCATTTTGGGAGACAATGGCTACCCCTGCAGACCATTCCTGCTGACCCCCTACCTCAACCCACAAGGACGACATCAACAACGTTACGACTCTCTGTGTGCTTCAAGGGTCACTATTGAGAAAACGTTTGGTCGGTGGAAGAGACCAGTCTGAGGTACTGGATACATTATTAAAATATATGTCTGAGACTTCCGGTATGCGCACTGACGGGTAAAGACGTTAGCATCGTGGTGCTCTTGAAAATCCTTATCAGTCTTCAATAATGAATGCCTCCTCGAGAAAATCAAGTACCAAAACAGGTAAAGGGGGTGGTCAAGTCACCAGGGAGGGCGATATAGAGCAGTTTATGACCGGTGACAGTCATAATGACCAATCTAACTCTGCACATCATGATTCGACCCCCGCCATCATGGCAGCCAATGTCGAAAAGATTGAAGAGCTTTTGGATAAACAGACGGAAAAAATATGTGAAAAGTTAACTATGGAGATAAAGAAAGTGTCGGACCGAGTAGACGATATTGAGGAAGGCCTCCAATCCCATGAGAAGGACATAAACGATCTGAAAACAAGCATGAAGGAGATGGAAAACGCTCTTAGAGAGGAGATCGCCATGTGCAATCAAAGATGGCTAGAAACTTCATGCTATTCACGCCGAACAAACTTACTGATCTACGGTATAATTGAGTCCTCCGGTGAAGATGTAGTGAAAAAAATCAGAGATTTCCTGAAGACTTCCTTGATGTTTCCTGAAGACGCAGACGATTCTATGCTGTTCATCAACGCTCACAGATTACCGAGGATGCCTCGTCCTGACGGACATGTCGTGCAGGGTCCTACCCCTATCATTGTGAAGTTTGTTTCGATGTTCGACAGGAACAGAGTGCTATTCGCTGCCTGAAACAAACTGAGACATTCAAAGTAAAGCATGGTGACAGATTTACTTGGTATCCTAAAAAAGGAAAGAGCCATGCTACTGACGAAAGTCAAGGAACTGCGACAGACTGGCATGTTTGCTCGTGTCCAGGAATCTAACTTTCACATCTACATCGTCACAAAAAAGTCTCCTAAGGACAAGTGGACTAAATTCGAACATTAACGATTGGAACAAATCTGCAATTTTCCCAAGTGTCGCAGAGCTTTATGACGGGAATTCAGTTCATGTGTTTTTGCCTTGTGTGATTTATTTCGAAACAAAAGGAAGAAAAATCTTGTGAATTCTTGGAATTATCATGGAATAATAATTCATACAAAATTCATTATTCATTATTACTACTACAAGCAATATATTAGGATTCAGATATTAGGAAAATATAAATATAGAATATTAGTAATAGCTTAGAGAAAGACTCCAGTCAAAAGTTGTAAAACTCATCTCACAGACATACTATTGAAAAAGGTATAAATTACGGCTACACAATTTCACAGATATTCAAGATAAAATCCTAGCCTAAGGTATTGAGGACTCAAGCTGTTAGCAACCCTTTCAGTAATTCAGAGTTATGACCAGATGATAAAATGAACTACTTTCATAAAGTAAACATGTCATCATCTATATTACAAAACTTTAAGCAAACACCAATTAAGGGTTATAAAGACATGGCCCAGAGTAAACGCATCTATTGTAATCCAAGCACCTATAATTGACACATCAGATTAGGCTCGTTAAGATCTAGCCCAGGGTAAGCATCCAAGAATCCAGTAAAAGTGCCAACAAGATAAATGCCAGTTAAAATAGGATTAACAGGATTAAGAGTAATTGCCCTGTCTTGTCATTAGTAGGACACCCCCCATTTTGTATATTCTGTAATTTGATAGGGTAATGTAGGTTACTCCCATTTTTGTATCAGTGAACCAATCGTAATCTCTTTATTGTTTTAATTGTAGATAAAAAGTCTCTAACTGCATTTGTCCATCAGTAGGGTTTAGACTCCCAACACAGGTCAGCTCTAGCCCTCAGCCCAGAGTGTTGTACCGACTCTCTGTGGCCACCCCATGTTATTCCGTTCTTTTAATTAAAATTGTGATTAGCTTCTTGTGACTTCGGACTCTTTGCTGAGTTAATTCCCCCAAGCAGACCAGCACGTCAGTTAGATAAGGGGTTTCACCGGAACCCTCACTTGGACCCAAGACCCTTATCATAATAGAATATTCATGTTAAAATGTTGAAATATGTTCTCTAAGATTCTGCTTTTATTTGTGAAGGACTTAATTTACTCACACATGGACATACTACTTGCCAGCCACGAAAGACAATGGAAACGAATTGGTATGCACAATCATCCTGAAAAGTCGCTATAAAAACTTTCTGCAGAATAATACCCACCTGAATGTCTTAGTATCTGGAGAATCTTTATATATTTATATAATCTTGTCCTTCCATTGCATTTCTTTTAATTAATTCCGTCCATTTAGTAGAGTAGTTGATGGGCCAACAGTAGCTAGATAAATGTAACGCGTTTATCTCCCTTTACTTGTGAACTCGCTTTATTATCGGTTATTTCTCAGAGACACTGTTACGAGACAATAGAGCACTTGCTACGTAGTGTATATCTGAAGGAATGCTTATGTTTTTCTTGTTGTACTTGTTCTGTGTGTGTGTGAGCGAAATAGTGGTTAATATCGTTTTGTTTCATAAATCCTCAAGATGGTCGTGTTTTTTCGTTTCAGTCATAGCTTTTCTTGAAGGGCACCACATTCATAATACTATGCAGTTATGTCAATATTTTGTAAGATTTTCACACCAATACCTCATCCTAGACAACAGTCTGTAACATGGATGACAAATTTAGCTGTTGTTCTCAAAACTGTCAAGGCTTGGAGATTCCCCAAAAAGGAAGGATGTTCTAATTTTTTTGAGAGCTAAGAAACACTCAATTTACTTGCTTCAAGATATCCATTTTGACAGTATGTTAGAGTTGTATGTTCGAGCAGAATGGGGTTTTGATTGTATCCTTAATTGTAATAATAGCCAATCCCAAGGTGTTGCAATTTTAATCAATAACAACTTTACTTACAAGATTCATAGGGTAATTAAAGGTGACAAGGGGAATTTTCTGATTGTTGATATAACAACTTGTGACAAAAAGAACAAAGTTGATAAATCTTTATGGGCCTAACGAGGACTGTCCAAATTTTTATATTTCCATACTTCAACAAGCGTTGTCTGTTAACAATGAACACTTCATCTTTGGTGGTGACTGGAATCTTGTTTTAAACCCAGACGTTGATGTTTATAATTATATTAAAGTCAATAATCCAAATGCTCGGGAGCAAGTGTTAAAGTTGATTGGTGAGCTTAATCTAATTGATGTATGGAGAGATCACAATCCAGATTCTATGAAATTCACTTGGGGTAGGAAAAATCCTCTTAAATAAGCTCCTCTAGATTTCTTTCTACTGTCTGAATCTCTGTTCCCTTATATTCAGTCAATGGGTATCAATGCTGGCTACAGAACAGACCATTCACTATAGACGTCCGGTTTAGTTTTAATGATCAGGGGAAAAGAAGTTCGTATTGGAAATTTAACTCTTCTCTTCTGAAAGATTAGGATTATATTTTGACTATAAAAGAAGTGATTTCAAATGTGAATAAGCAATATGCTGCACTTGTTTACAATTTTGATAACTTAAATTAAGTACCTACCTGTGATATTCAATTTAGAATACATGATCAACTGTTTTAGAAACTCTCTTAATGGGCATAAGGGGGAAAACAATATCCTACTCCTACATAAAAAAAAAAAATCCAAAAAAGAACATGACTTGACTGAACAAATTGAAAATTTAGAAAACTCAATCTCTACTTCTCAAGATGTAGAAATTCTTGATGCTAAGAAAAGAGAATTGGAATGTCTGCGTAAAACGAAAATGGAAGTGATATTTGTTAGATCAAGGGCCAAATGGATTGATGAGGGAGAGAAAGTTACCAGTTATTTTTGTAACTTGGAAAACAGAAATTTTGTAAGGAAAACTATGAATGAAATTGAAAAACCTGATGGATCTGTTATACATGAGTCTAGTGACATTCTTGAAGAAGCAAAGTCTTTTTATGAGAATCTTTATTCATGCAACAAGGACTCTCAGTCTAATTTAGACATTTGTGATGTCTTAAGTGAGGATTTGCCTGTCTTGGATAAAGGTTATGTTATTCACGACGAATTATTGAAGTCACTGAAAAGTATGAAAAACAACAAAAGTCCCGGTACAGATGGTTTTACTGCAGAATTCTTCAAAATGTTTTGGATTGATTTGGGTTATTTTGTGTTGCAGACAATCAATAGTGCTATCGACATTGGCGAGTTATCCATTACACAAAAGTTAGGTGTCATTACTTATATTCCTAAGGGTGATAAACCTGAGAGGTTTCTTACAAACTGGAGGCCCATTTCCTTGCTTATTGTAGTTTACAAAATGGCTTCTTCTTGTATTGCAGAAAGGCTTAAAAAGGTCCTCCCAATTCTAATTAATAATGACCAAACTGGCTTTATGTCCAATAGATATATTGGTGATAACATAAGAATTGTTTATGATACTTTAGTTTTTACAGATATTTATCCCATTTAAAACTCCAATGGAACCCCTCAACATTCAAGGTTTTAGGTGTTACTCTTAGCACAAATATTTCAGATATTGTTCAGGTCAATTTTAGCTCAAAACTTTTTGAATTAAAACAGCTGATGAGTAAGTGGATTAACAGAATCTTAACCCCACTTGGAAAGATTGCTTTGATTAAATCGTTACTTATTTCTAAACTTAATTATCTTTTTCTAACTCTTCCTAATCCTCCTGGTGTTTTTCTTAAGGAACTTAACAAAATGTTGTTTAATTTTGGGTGGAATCAAATACCTGACAGAATAAAGAGAGAAACAATATGTAGACCAGTTAAGGAGGGTGGATTGGGTATGATTAATATATTTGAATATGTCAAAGCTTTGAAGGTTACTTAGATGAGAAAACTAGTTACTAAAGATCCCAAGTGGAAATATATTTTAAATGCTAGTTATTGTAAATGTAGTGAATTTGATAAGCATGGCAAAGAATTTTTGAAAAAACGTTTCAGAAATCTGAAAAATCCCTTCTGGATTGATTGTTTCAATGCTTTTTATGATTTTTCAAGTAAAATTAAACCTGCTAATTTAGAAGATTTCTTGTCT